GACAAATAACCATGGCTCTTGATCTTCTCTTTTGCACTCTTCAAATCAAGAAACTCATTACACTTAGCAAAAAAAATCAAAAGTTCTTGACACAAGTGGAAATGAAGGAGAAAATAATTTACCTTCTCTCACTGTGCCTTTCCACTGAGCTTCAGCAAAAAAAATGAAAACCAGTAAAACAAATCAGATTTGTCCAACAAAAATATGAAAATGTTCAGGCCTTTATAATTATTATTGTATCAGCCGTGCTTGGCAATAAATGTTTTGTTATAAATAAGACATTTTTGGCTAAAATCTAAGGGAGATTCTTTAAATGAGGATTGCAATTAAAAAATGTGAATGAATATACTTGAATACTAGCATTTATTTTCACTCCTTGCTAATAAAGGATGATTTTTAAAATGTTCAAATATGAGGAAAAATCCCGCTGTGGAACTACCACTTGGATTGTTTTGTTTCTGGAGCAATATTAAAGCTGCAGCCTTGGCACACACGACTAGCAAAATGTACCAGATGGTCAAGAACAGGCCTATTTCCCATTTTACACACATAAAAAACCATCTCTGGAGTATGTTCCCACATTTCATTTAGAGAATGATAGGCATCATATGCATGTATGTCTGAGAATTGTATATTCCAGTGGACAGAGAATTAAGGACTTTAACAGATCCCAGCAGCTGCTCTCTGAGGCTTGGTAACCATAATTAGGATTGGCACTTTCAAGCATGCTTTTAGTGACCAGGGAGTCCGGACAAGGCTCTCTCAGTTTGGGGTTCCAGGCTATGCTACACCGAAGAAAAAGGTCATTCACAATCAGGATCTCAAGGGGAGCTTTTTTAAAGGACTCTCTCCTTCCAAAATCAATTACAATTTCACAGGCAATTCTTCAAAGAGTGTTCAACAGTGCAATGACCTATTACGTCTGTGTCCTCTGTGTTAAAGTCAGGCTAGTTTCAACATCAAAACTGAATCTTTATTGTCTGAGGTTATTCTGAAAAATAATTACAAGCTGACAATTCTGACTTTAAATTACCATATTTTAGTCCCTGTTTTATTCATATAAACGTGTCACTTTGTGGGGAATGAATATAGTAGTTTTAAATGAGAGTCTTGTGTCTATAAGATTAAAATTGTGAAAATCAAACATTCAAATTCTCCAAAAATTGGAAAATATTGGGCCACCAATATTTGTAAGGTTTAGGAACCACAGTCAGTTACAGACAGTTGAAATCTTCTAAAAACGCTTAATATGCACAGAGGAAACAGTCTCCAATAGAAGCTAATATCAGTCTTCCATATCCCCACTCATGGGGGAATTGCCAATTAGCACCAAGGAAAATAAATAGAATTCCAAGATTGATTGGTTTGCAAAACATCAGTCAACAGCAAGTCAACAAGCATTGTCCCCAACTATGCCAGCTTCCCAAGTTGTATTTTCTTTTGCATATTTCTGATATGCTCTTTAAAAATTCCACAAATAACGTGGAGTTACGTTCCACAGAAAAACGCACGGCTTCAGAATCCACCTACCTACTATCTACTAGAATCTACTTAAACTCTTTTTTAGGCTTGGCTTCACTATACTCACAAAGCTGTCCTTATGCTTGTTGATTATGCACCTTTATGTTTCCACAACTTTTTCTTCTACTTGCTTTTTTTTTTTTTTTAAACTGTCAAATGAGGAGTATTTCCCATGACTATGTAAGCCATAACATAATATTTGTAAACCTTTTAATGTTTGCAAGTTTCTTTTTATGAGTCTTATGTAATATTTTGACTTTCTGGGAAACAATTTGATTTTTATTAACTGTAAGCCATAAAAATCAACTGAAATAAGCAAATAAACTATAATACTCTGTATGTGATGAGTCTATATTGAATTACTGGGAAAAAAAATCTACTTTTCAATGCAATTCTAGAGATGCATCTCCAGTGTCTTTTTATAAAACTCACCTTCAAAGGCCTATACGTTTTAAAAATAATTCACCATCAAGAAGTGGTGACAATCCAACATTTCCCTGGCCTTAATCTCAATGTTCTTCATGAGCTTTTTTATCTACATATTTTATGTAGTGCTCATGCCTGGCCGGAGTTACGTATGTGTATACTGCCAGCTGTGCCAGGGCAGCCATGTTTCTGGGGCAGCAGGCTGGATTAAGATTTGGATAGTTTTCAGAATGATTTTTTTCCCCCCCAAACACTGGAACAACCCCCTCCTCCCTGAGGCAGAGGAGCACACAGTCACAGTTGATGAAAGATAACTGCAGAAAATAAAGACAACAATGTGGATGTCAATTAAGTTAAGAAATAATATTTAGTGGTTACAAAATGTGATGATGTAAATTCATTTGGAATGTTTTGATTGGGGGGAAAGTGCAGTCTTTCATTGGTTTTTACACTGAAATATCCAGAGTAAAGTTCCTGTCTCTTTAATGTGTTCATTATGGCTAGAGATGCGCTGATTTGCTGTTTTTACTGGTTTGCCATCTCTGGTATTGTAAACCTTTGCTGATGTTATGAAATACAATTTTTTTTTTAAAGAAATTCAATCCAATCCAGCCTTTTTTCAGATGCATTCCATTAATATTTGAAACAGCAGTCTTTGTATGTATTTCCAAAGCGGAATAAGCATCCCTTCAATGAGTCCGAGATTCCTACAATGCTGCCAACACGACTAAATTCAGTATGTACAACAAGAAGAACTGTTATGCTTAAATGCATGAAAAAAGAGTAACATTGTCGTTATATGTATATCTTATGCTTTATTTGTATGTATATGTAAAGTTTGTATATTCCAAACTTTACAATCTCCAATGCTGTCATAGTGCTGGAGATAATAACCTCCTAGATGTTTTCTCTCTTCCAATGGACTGTAAAAAAAATTATCTTTTGGTACACTGACCTTGGCCAACCCTTTGATACTTTTTCGAAAGCTGTTGTGTCAGTTTGTGAAAATCAGGTTATGTAAATAAGCTCATGCCAGGGAGGGTCAAGCTCTGAGCCGAATGAAACTAAATCCAGTCATCTCTTGCAGGACTCTTAGTAGGTATTACATGGCAGAAATAAACATGACACTGAAACAATGCTATTGTGAGAATTCAGTTCAAACTGAGGGAAAAAACAAACACAATGGTACAAAATGTAAATACTGTGTTGGTAACAATGGTGACACTATATACCTAATAAGATTTTTGTAAGGTTCTCAACCTATATTTTCTCTATTACAGGGGGCATCTTTGAGACCCTTGAAAATGAACCAATTAGCGTTGAAGAACTGGTCTTTAAATTTGCTGTAACCAACATAAACAGGAACCGGACCTTAATGCCAAACACCACGCTGACCTATGACATCCAGAGAATAAATCTATTTGACAGTTTCGAAGCCTCCAGAAGAGGTAAGAATCATTCGCTCCCTAATCTTTTTATAGTTTAGACAGAGCTATGAATTTGACCCTGATGGCTATTTTTTTGTTCCATGTGTTCCTCCAGCATGTGACCAATTGGCTCTGGGAGTTGGGGCTGTGTTCGGTCCATCTCACAGCTCATCTGTCAGTGCAGTTCAGTCTATCTGTAATGCACTGGAAGTCCCTCACATCCAGACCCGATGGAAACACCCCTCAGTGGACAACAAGGACAGCTTCTACATTAACCTCCACCCTGAATACGCCTCCATCAGCAGAGCTGTGTTAGACATAGTGCAGTTCTACAAGTGGAAAGCAGTCACTGTGGTCTATGAGGATGCCACTGGTGAGTCAAAATGACATATGCACAAAATTAAGAGGTATGAAAATGTTATTCATACCTCTTGTACTTTTTTACATTACAACCACAAACAATGCATTTCATTGGGATTTTTATGCAATAGACAAAGTAGCACAGTTGTCAATTTAAAGAAAAATGGTCAATGGTTTTAATTTTTTTGCCAATCTGAAAGGTGCATTTCTACTCATCCACAACACCTAAATGAAGTCAATTTCAACAAATTTTCTTTGGAAATTGCAGAGGAGGTAAACCTCTGAGCTGAACTAATAGGACATCCCCGGAAGGAAACCCGACAGAGACTGAGCTTAAGGCAAATGTGTTCAGTTTTTACGAGGATGATGATGCTAAACATGCAACCATGTCCACAAAGGAATGGTTTATAATAAAGCACACACGTGTTGGTGTGGTCCGGTGAAATCTCGCTGAGAATCTGTGAGCTGATATCAGTCAACGTGGGTAATTTTAATTAACATTTTTTTAAATACTGGAAAAAAGGTTTGTGAAGTAATTTTGTTAAAATATTTTTGTTCCTATTGTTATTGTCTGTATGAAAATAGCAAAATAATTGCTAAATAATAAAATGCATGTAAATGCAATGGGTGGTTGTCATATATTAGTTCATTTCATATTTATGTGTTTATGTTTATGTTATTATTTATTGACTTATAATACAAATAGGAGTGGGGGGGGGGGGAGAAAATAATTCCTAAACAGTTTTTTGAAGTTTTATTAATGGTCTTTTCAGGTTACTTCTGAAACAAAAAATATTCCAAAATGAAATAAAAATCTATATTTTTGGTCATTATTTAAAATCTGAATTACATTAACCCACTCTGAACCATTATTATGTACTATAAAAATACAGTAAACAGCAAAATAATTTCACTGATTCTCACAGGTCTCAGGAATAACAGATTTACAACAAGTTAGAATAATTGGCTACTGACAAATGCACCTGGACATGAAAAACAATCAAACTTATCACTCTCCAGCTGTAACTCTCGGGCAATAACCTGCTGGTATTGAAACATAAGCTTTCATTGTGAGTGACTCCACTCCACTATTGCTATGTACAGACATTTGTCACTCACCAGCAGACCACAAAAGCACAACTATATGATAAAATCAACATCTCGTCATAGGGAATAAAAGTAGGTACTACAAATAAAGTTGAAATGTTTAAACTCCTTCCTGCATTACACAACACAAAGATAAAGCGAACAAAACATATTTCCTACCTTTAAAATAAACAGCTTCTTCTTCAAATGCTGTTTCCCAGCTTTTCGTGGAACTGTCGGTGTACAAAATGTGCTTCTGAAAATAATCACAAACACAATTTTCATATTTTTTTAATCAGCTTGTAAGCAAAAGAATTTTTTTTGTGCACAACTAATCATGATGGGCTCATGATACCCACTTTTTCTCAGTTTTACCAGAAAATAGTATTAATTTATTAAATCGAATGCAGTTAAGTTACTTTTGTAGTTTAACCTCGTGTCCACCAGAGGGAGACGAAGTAACTGTGCCGAAATTAATATAACATTTTAAATAGGCTATAAAAACGATATCGAAAGACGCATAATTTATTTTAATGTTTTCATAAAGTGGAGTTTACAGGCATATTTCAGTTGATACAAATAAGTTTTTAACTCAAAATCAACCAAGAACTTACCAACGTGGAAGTCAAACATTTTTCGCTTCTTTGTCAACTTTCTAATGCTATCCTTACAAAAAAGAATAGCAATTAGCTGTACAACGGTCAACTATGGCAACAAACAGACATCCTTTATGGCTTTACTTGCACAAAAAACGGATCGTATCGTTAACATTTAAATTTGAATTTACCCATTGTAATGCTAACCTAACAAAACTAATCAAGAAACAGACTTCAAACATCGGCTTCTTTTACTGTGTGGTTCTAAACGTATTGGTTGATATTTCCTATCACTGCCCCCTAGAGGACAAACCAAAGACCTGCAATAATTAAATCTGTCAAAGTTACATTTGACAAATTGACTAAAAAATGGTCGTTTACAATCAAAATGAGATGTTAGCATCTGCTAATTTGCACGGGATTGTTAAGCAAATAGAAATATGTTTGTTTTAGAAAGGTGTCATCATTGCTGTTGTGCTCTAGGGCCAAACTGACACACCAAATAAAATGGGCTGCATATCTTTAGGTGTATTTCTCTCACATTCATTTTACAGCAGTCTTGTTACACTCAAGAAATAAAGCCTTTATGGAAAACTAGAAAGAAAAAAGCCAATCTTTCACATACTGTGAAACATGTGAGTGGTACTAAAATGCTAACTTGATTCTATTCCTCAGACATGTAACTGAGGCAAAGGTTTAGCTTTGATCAAAATAATAACTGTAAGCATACACCCAGAGCTTGAAACAGTGCTTACTTTAGAGCATATTGATTTGTTAGAATGGCCCAGTCACACTCCAGACCGAAATCCAACAGAGAATATGTGCCAAGATTTCAAAATTAATGTTCGGAAGAGCTACTCTGGCTGAGTTTGAAACATTTTGCAAAGAGAAATGGGCAACAACAGTCTTTAGATATACAAAGCTGGCAGAGACATAATTAAATGATTGCAGCTGTAAATATAAATGCCCACCTATGTTTTTTGGATGAAATGCAAAATATGTCTATTCTTTGTTTTTCCGTTCAACAAAATTTGTTGTCCTGACACTTTGTCCTAATAAGATATAGAAAACTGAATAATAGGACACCATAGGACTGATAAATATTATTAACTTGCTAGTTTAGCGCCACTGAAATGTATGTAGTCCAATAATTGTGGTCTGCTGTTTAATTTAAAGGTCTAATTCGTTTGCAAGAGTTGATTAAAGCTCCATCCAGATATACAATCAAAATCAAGATACGGCAGCTGCCATCAGGAAGTAAAGATGCCCGTCCCCTGCTGAAAGAAATGAAGAAGGGAAAGGAGTTCTTTGTCATCTTTGACTGCTCTTACCAAACATCAGCTGATGTCCTAAAGCAGGTAATCAAATGTTATAAATACACAGGGTACAGATATAAGTTTCATTTAACGTTTCAAAAATAGGTGACATGCATTGCTGTGGTTTTGGGTTTAATATTGACCCTGAGCAAGATTACTACTCCAAAATACGATTTCCTATTTCCAATCCAGGAAGAGACATTGCACAGATTAATTGGAAAAGGGACAAAATTATGACATTAACTCATGTTAATAAAAACTTTGTAAATAGCACAAAGTGAATCAAAGTAAATGAATGCATTGCCAAAATTGTGGTTTGGGTTTGATCCAAAAAGTAAAAAGGACTATATTTTATACTCACTTCATGCCTGTAAACAGTGTAACAAATGGGAAAACTGAACAACTTTTTTATTTCTGTTTAGATCCTGTCTATGGGAATGATGACTGAATATTATCACTACTTCTTCACCACATTGGTAAGAAAAAAATAGTCCATAATAAATGAGCTGATTTATGGCACATATAAGCGCTTTGTTTTATGGCTATTTAGTAAATTTGAATATTTTTAAAGAGAAACATTTTCTATAATTTGAAAGCCTTTAGTTAAAGAAAACATTACATTTTTCATTTCAACTAAATGCACATTGTATTGATTCTTCAGCTTTGACCCAGTTGTTGAATTTTACAGGACTTGTTTGCTCTTGATCTGGAACCTTACCGCTACAGTGGGGTCAACATGACGGGATTTAGGCTGCTGAACGTGGACAATCCTAGAGTGGCTTCGGTGCTGGAGAGGTGGGCCATGGAGCGACTGCAGGCTCCTTCCAAAGTCGAGACTGGAATGATGGAAGGAATGATGACTGTAAGTTTGATCTGACATACAAATCTGGGTAGAAGCCTACAGACATTCAATATAGACATGGGAATGACTTTTGTTACTGATTTATTAGAACTGTTTATTTTCCCTGATTAGGGTCAATGATTACATATTTAAATATATGTTTAGATCCCACACATATTCATTAAATGCTCCTCAGGCAGTTACAGGGAACCCATACAATTTTGAAAAAACACCACCACAGTTGACACATGCAAATGTTTCAACTGTGATTTGATTATTTTTTTATTATTTTTCATAGTGGGGAATATTTGTCTTATCTCACCTTTAACATTTTCTCCAGAAGACAAATAGTTATAACATGGACCTAACTGGCTGTTCCAACAGGACAATGATTCCAGACACATGAAAACATATTTTAAATGGATGAAAAAGGCTAACATTCAGCTTCCAGATGGCCTGCCCAAATTCACACCTTAACTGTACTAAAAATTTGTAGATTTTATTTAAAAGTCAAACCTGTGCCAGAAAACAAATTAATTTAAAAGCACTCTCCTACTAATGCCAAAAAATGTGATCTAATATCCAATCAGAGTTGTGCCAAATGCTTGTTGATGCAAAAAAAAAAAAGTGTGGTAACAACACATTTGTGGAGGGTTTGTATATATTTAAAATTCTTTTGTAGATAGTTTTGAGGATGTGTAGATTAGAGAACATGTGTAGTAAATGTAAACATGTGCCCCTCAGGTCTAGCTGTATTTTAAAGAAAATCAACAACAGCCTAAATGTAATAAGCTATTAATGTTCAGAAAAACAGTTTTGACCAGAAATATATTTACAGTATAATTTCAAGACCAGATTACAGAAAAAAAAACTATAATATGAAACGCCCTGGGGCTTTCAGCAATTAATTTGGATTAAAAAAAAGTATGATGTGAAATATCATTCACATGAAGAAAAACTCATTTTGCACAATATCTGTTTTTTTGGCAGAATATTTAAAGTTATGTTAAATGAAACAAAATATTTTCTTTTATCATAAAGCAAGAAATTATCTGCAAATAAAAGCAATTTTGGAGAGGCAAAAGGGTTTTATTGAGATTAATTTTATTGTATTTGATGCAGTGGATGCAACAGGTTTCTGATTGTGTGTACAGTCTGAAAATTGAACACCAAACTGTACTCACTGTGAGTGATTGTGGTTTTCTGTGTGATTGCATCTGATTCGAAGAACCCCATGAGGTCGTGCACATGCATCAACAGTCCTGATGTGATAAGTGCGTGATTTGTGATCCTGCAGACGGATTACGATGATGGACATGTTTCTCTTCCAGACTGAGGCGGCTCTGATGTATGATGCTGTTTACATGGTAGCTGCTGCCTCACAACGCACCTCACAAATCACCGTCAGCTCCCTGCAGTGTCACCGACACAAACCCTGGCGTTTCGGATCGCGCTTCATGAACCTGGTGAAGGACGTGAGTTAGATCCACCCGTCCGTCCGTCCGTCCGTCCATCCATCCATTCATCCATCCATCCATCCATCCATCCATCCATCCATCCATCCATCCATCCATCCATCCATCCATCCATCCATCCATCCATCCATCCATCCATCCATCCATCCATCCAACAGTGATGAGCTTAAAGTACTTTGGTTAAAACTAAATAAAAACAACCACCCTTTACTCTTCTTAAACTGTCTTTAAATTGATAAATGTCACAGTATATTATTGTTGTTCTTACTCTATTCAATATTATTTTTAAAAAATTCCCCACATGATTTAAGACCAGATGATACTACCACTATGAGACAAATATAATTAAAGAATGTTTAAAGAACATCCTGTCTATCTTATGGTATTCATGACAATTTAACTGTAGAAGCCAGACTTCTCATCTCAATTAAAATGTATTAAATGAAGCATGATATAGCTTTTCATTTGTAAGTGGGGATATAAAACTGACAGATAGAAGCAAACCAAAGCAGCGTTTTTAACGTTGGTGTTTTTAACAGAAAAATAGTTTTAGAAGTCTATTTATTTCTCCGTAGCTTCATGGCTCCAAGTTCAGTCCAGCACTTGAAAATAATATCTTACTAAAAACCATCAAACATTGTTTGTATAACAGTTGATTCTTCTGAAGGACTCTCATAAAGAACAATTCAGTAAAGACACATTCAATGAATTAAAATATTATTGAAAAGTTAATTTATTTCAGAATTTTTTCACAGTGAAAAATGATGTAGATTAATTATACACATATCAATTTTTGAAAGCATTCATTTCTTTCTTTCAGAAGAAATAAATGCTTTTTTTTCTTGGAAATTGAAAATTGTAAGGATTTTCCATTTAGTTAATGAAAAAAACCCAATAGAATAACTATTTTTTAAAAACAGAAATTTAGGCCTAATGGGAAGTATATTTTATATGTGCTTAAAAAATATTGTTTGCAAAAGGTAACTTTAATCTGATTTATCAGGGCATAAATTCTATTTTATTGAATATGACTGCAGGTGGTTGGAGGAAACCAGCTGGAATACCAAACTGCACAAACACTGAGTTTTTTGTGTAAAACTTTATTTATGTATTCATCATCAAAACAGGACATGATTTGATGATGAACATATAATCAAAGAGTTCAAAATCTTTGCGAGATGAATGCCATTTTCAAAATGTTAATTCAATGTGGAGAAATTGAAGCTTAAGTTCCTCTTTGTAAAAAGATGTAACTTTGCTGTGGGATGAGATCCCTTTATCATCTATTAATTTCAAATATGTCTGAGCAAAGCTTCCTACTCAGGCCACTTGTTTTAGCTCATTTCAACATAATAATGTTTTAGATGGAGATATTTTATATTTCATCAGGTAAACCAACATATGTAAAAATATCAACTGAAATACAATAAATGTGCTTAATTATTAATTCTCTAAAATGAAATTCTCTGATTTTTTTTATGGCCTTTTGATTTATTTTTCAGTTATTCATAAAACAAAAGAGAAACTGTTTGTGTTTTCTGTTCTCTCTTTTACCTCAGACACAATGGGACGGCTTGACAGGA